ATCAAACGCGGTTCCCCTTGTCTCTTACTTCCACCTCTGCCCCTCTACTTTGTACTTGTGCCTTGCCACTTGGCTCAACCATCACCTCTATAGTGTTAGCCCTCTTCGATTTCAACTCCTTAGACACCTCATTAGCTACTACATTTCCATTTGCTGTATAGTCATCTGGGCCCACTCCACACGCAGGACAATACTTCTGCTTATAACCCATTATCTTCCCGCTATCCAATAACCTCATTAGTTCATCCAATTCCCCTTTCAGTGCCTTTATATGTGCCCTTATGTCAGCATAGTTTGAAGAAATATCATACGTTCCTTCAGTAGTCTTATTGCTGTCCTTATGCGCCGTTAAATGGCCTTCCTTGTTTGGTCCCCAGATTCGAGGACCACTCCTCTCATTTACTGGTTTATCCTTCTGCGTCCGTACCCATTGATCAGCATTCTGAGAGGCCCGTGCCGTAACTGCAGCATAGGTCATCCCTTGCAGGCTCTGATCTTCCACTACTCGATGCTTGGTCTTATCTTCGACAACAAATGATTCTATAACTACTTGAAACACGCGAGAGATCGCTGCCCATCCCTCTCCATTACGCCCTTCAGGTACCATCACTACACCCTGTCGCCGCCGTTCCCCATACTGCGCTATTACGAGATATCTTCCACGATTGTTAGTACATCGTTGTGCCAAAAATGCTCGGGGGGTCTCATTAAATTTCGCTACAAAATCCTCCGACACACTAGCCATCCTTAACTTATCCATCATATTAACCATCCACATAGCTCCAAATCTTCCCATGAGAATAGCACTGGAGATCTTAGCTCCCCATTCTGATATCTTAACCATGCTTGAATCAGTGACAGACACAACAAATTCTTTTGCCTCAATTCTGAAACTGGAGCTGAAGACCAACATGCTATTAGGAACTCTCTGTCTCCCTAGATTTCGTGCAACCAAAGCATCATACGAAGAAATAGGATGGTTATTTGTCTCCGGAGAATTCTGCACGAAGCGCGTGCCCAGATCGGCGCGTCCACCGTGCTGCCTCTCCCCCGTGGTCGGAATGCCCTGACCAAGTCCCCTGTCAGGCGCGTCGGTCGGAATTCTGGCCGGATCTTGAGCCATCTAGGCTCGAATCCCCGACCGATTTCTGCCTGTGACCACTCGCCAACAGCCCAAGTCGTCGTCGCCTGCTTCAGAGGTGGCTGGGTCGTCGGCCAAAACAGCAGATCGGGCGACGGTGCTGGAGTTTACACCCAGGGCCGTCGCCTGCAATTGTGGCTCATTTTGTGGCGTGAGGCCGGTTTTGTTGGGTCCACTGGGCGCCTGCGATGTTGCCGGTATGGTAGATTTGGATATTAGGGAGGGATGCTCCATCCCACAGGATCATGTTTCGAGTGGCATATTTTTGTTGTGTAGCTACAACGTGTAATTATCTTAGTTTTCTACAAGTTAATATACCTTCGAGACTTATGTATGATTATAGAGCTATTTCGTCCATGCATATCAATCTAGCTAGGATTAACAGTAAAATATATCCACTATCTTGGCAGATAGAAACCTTTACATGATTTTTGGACTTCTTTAAAGCCATGGTTTTTGTACATTGTTATCATATTATATTGTAATTAGACTATAGGGGTGTTCGATAGTCATTTTTATGTAAAAATGCATTTTAGAATAGTAAATTGATGTGAAATGTGTGGTTGAAAATTAAGGAAAAGTTTTTTATTTACGTGTCATATTATTTTAATAAAGAATGTGTGGTTGAAAAGAAAAGAGTGAAAAATGCATTTTGAAAGACATGGCTACCAAACGGGGCATATATATGGAAGGGGTATGACACCAAGTTCCTCTAAGCCCAACCAATCATGATAAGAAACTAGAAACGACTCATTTTGTCAATTGATTTTAGAAAGAAGTACTTCCCATTTATACAGCATGTGAAGGTTTTTTCCTCCCCAACTCCTCTTCTTTCAGAATTCCCAACAAGCTGAGCAATAATTTTGTCTTCTCTTGCCTCCTTACTCCGCCGGGGG